ATCCAAAATACACAAACATAATCACCTCACTCCTATCCATATACCTATTCCTGAAAACAGATTTTCGCATATTCACATCGACTTAATTAAATTACCTAATATTAATGGATATCCTTATTGCCTAACAATCATCGACAGATTCACAAGGTGGCCAGAAGCTATTCCTCTAAAGGACATTTCTTCAGACACGATTGTTCAAGCCCTATTTTCAAACTGGATATCAAGATTTGGTACACCATGTGTGATAACATCCGACATCACACCATCTGACATCACACCATGTGTGATAAATACGGACAACGGCATACCACCCTCAGTCCAATGGTCTGGTTGAACGCTGGCATAGAACTCCGAAAGCAGATTTAATGTGCTCTCCTGAGCCCTGGATCAAAGTATTACCTGTAGTCTTACTAGGTTTACGTTCTTCATACAAAGAAGACCTTAAAGCATCTCCTGCTGAGATGGTTTATGGAACCACATTAAGACTACCAGGCGAGTTTTTCACATCTAAAAAACTGTCATCTGATCCACAAGCATTTCTGGACTGTCATAGAAAAATAATGCGTGTTATTAAGCCTACTGCCACAGCTCATCATAATAAAGCCAATATGTTTGTACTCAAGGACATGAATACATGCACGCATGTATTTGTCAGGGCAGATAATATTCGAAAACCACTTGAGCCTCCATATAGTGGACCATATCAAATTATAGAAAGAATTTCAGACAAAGTGTACAAAATTTTTATGGATGGTACTAATAAGAACATATCGGTTGACAGATTAAAACCAGCGTATACAGTTAAAACAGATAACAGTCAACCAAGCACATCACAAGAATTCAAACCACATCACTTGGAGTTAACTATGGTCTCTCCAAGAAAAACCAATTCGAAAAAAGTCTCCTTCAAATTATAATAATTAAATTTATTTATTTCTAATGGATACTTTTTTTTTTTTGAAGGGGAGTGATATAGCGGAATCAACACGCAGTGATATAGCGGAATCAACACGCCCACATGGCACATGTCAGTTGATTGACGCAAATCGATCATCATATCAAGCAAGCGATAGCGAGCGCATTGGATAAAAAAATACGATCGAAAAAATTATCGCGCGCAGTTTGAAACGATCTAAAATTATGTATCGCGTTTTTCATCGAACATTCAGTCGGGATCAAAATTGATATTAGATTTTATGTAATATCAGTTACTTTATTAATTGAGATATAAATAAACACACATTGCCGAGTCTACATCAAATAATTGCGATTTCATTTAAAAAATTAATTAATAAATAATATATGGCTCACTAGCGCCATATATATATATATATATATATATATATATATATATATATATATATATATATATATATATATATGTATGTATGTATGTATATCTTATATATAAAAATGGAGCTCTCGATCAAATGATTCGGTAAAACTCGAAAACGGCTAAACCGATTTGGCCAGTCTTAGTCTTGAAAAATTCGTGCCAATCCAGAGATGGTCGGAAAGATGAGATAATATTTCAGAATCGCGTAGAAACTTTACATTTTTAATTTGAAAATTTTTGTAGAAGCGTAATCTAAATAAAACAATGGACGATGGCTATTACGTAAAATGTCAAACGTTTTTGACAGATGATGTTCAATTACGTTTAATAGGATGTTTTACGTGAATAATATTTAATTATAATTAAATTGTAGTAAGTAGTTTTGTTTGTAGTTTTTTTATATACAAAAAACGTATATAAAAGACTCAAAATATCAACTTTTTGAAATGTTAATATGTTAATTATTAACATAATAATACCTTACTTAGCAAAACAACGTTTTCCGGGTCAGCTAGTATATATATATATATATATATATATATATATACTGAATTGTTTTTAAATTCTCATTTTCAATCCAAAGTTTTAAAACATTATTACCAAAAATACTTTGAAATTTTCAATTGTTATTTTACGCATATGTAATATTAATATTTAGGTTTTGAGACATTTTACCTATTTATTGTAGAGAACAAAAAAATATATCCCAGCCTTTCATTTTTAAACTCGTACTTCATGTTGAATTTTTTAACTTTCCGTAGGATAAGTTATCGTAATCGTCCAAAAATCGAAATTGAAAATTTTTACATTTCTCGACGTTTGAAGGTTTCTGAAGATTTTGGTATACCTCGAAAAAATTGATGTGTGTGTGTATGTATATATGGATACAATTTTTCGTCCACGTTTTCGGGCGCACGGATCAACCGATTTGAATGGTTCAAAAAACATTCGATTCCTATTGATATGGAGATGTGCTGATTAGTTTTTGGCAAAGGCAGGTCGAACCGTTTCGGAGATACGGAGCAAAGAGTGCAGAAAATAGAAATCGAGTTTTTGAGAGATCCAAAAAGCATTCATATCGTAATGACGAGGAGAAGGGGTGATTAGTTTTTCGCAAAGGCAGGTCCAGCGGTTTCGCTGATACAGAGCTAAATGTGCAAAAAAATGGCAGTTTTTGAGAGAACTAAGCGTCCGATTTGAAGGATTCAAAGAACTTTCTGCTTGTTCTGACAAAATAATTGCTTTTGAAAAAAAAATTTTTTGTTTCAATTTTTTTTTAATATTATTTTTGTATATAGAAAATAATTCTGATTTTAATTATAATTTTGACTTAAGTTTTAATATACTTTAAACAAATATTTTCAACTTTGCAATTCAGTTTATATAATTCTTATAAATAATAGATAATGTTACAGCATTTATTTATATTAATCTATTTGAAAATATTTAATATTCCTCGAACATTTCGTTACGGTACGGGAAGTTCCAGCAATTTGCCTTAAGGCACGATGCCATACACCCCACTAGTTTTATTTAATTTTTCATTATTTATAATATCAAAAATTGCACCGTAAACTTCTAATTGATATCGTAAGGGCCAAATTGTATTCGTCTTTACCCATCGTGTTTTAAAGTTAAATTTTAAACGTATTTTAAAAGTATTGTCCGATGATTAGTAGAAGTTGCAAAGAAATTATATATTTCTTATATCATACTTAAAAAAAACTAACGTAAAGTATCTGTATTGTTTTCTAGGCACTCCCCATTTTCCATTTTTTTTATTATAATTTGTAACTATTTTTTAACAATAATAATATAATAATAATTTCTTCATCGATTCCACGAAATAATTTACTAATTTTCAGAGTTACTAATTGGTTAATTGTATCTACTGATATCACATTGCAAACTAAATATGTATTTTGTGTTTCCGTATGCATAGTTAAGTTAGATTGTTACAACTTATTAAGTGTTCTAGATTATATATTTAAAAAAAATATAGATAATTTAATTGTCATATCTGAATCTAGTGTTAGCAGCCCCTAAGGCATGCGCCTGCATTTTTCGCATCTATAGGTATGATATATACATGTATTCATACATCTGCATAAAGTGGAGTACTTTTGGCTAGCGACAAATATCACCTCAATCAATAAGTCCGTAGGATAACTAAGAAAAATACATTTTTTTGACAGAATACTTTTTTCTTATTCAATACTGCTTTCTTTAAAGACAATATACCGATTATACCTAAAATAAATTACCACAAAATTTGGCTATCATCTCATAATTTAGCAAAAACTTATTCACAGCGAGCATCCTCTTGAGATCCGAGAACGAGATATAGTCGTTGGGTAACAGATCTAGGGATTCATTTTTTTTGTCACCGTTTTCACGTATTTGTGACATGTCCTGATGAAGCAGCACGGTTTACTTTTTCAAAAGTTTTTCTGATTTCATTTCATTTTGATCTTACAATGTTCCAATAACGTTATACAATAGTCACTGTTGGTGGTCTGGCCTTTTTCAAGATAGTTAGATCAATTATTGCTAATCCCAATAAACTGACGCCATAACCTTGCCAGGTGATTGCATTTTTTCTCGTCATGGCTACGATTAAAATCAGCAAACCACTTCACCATTTGCCCCGATTCCGGATAGTCCAGATAACAATTATCAAGCGATACTTTGGCAGCAATGGTATTTTTACGCAGCAAAAAGCAATAATAAATCAACCCAAGAAATAGCTTTGAATTCATAGTTTCGAAAAACTCAAAAGTAGCGTCACTTGGATCTCTGTAACTTGTAAACTAATCATCAGATTGACATATATCTTCTTATATGGATGATCACATAGCTACATAATCTATGTCTTATCCTACGGACTTATTGAGTGACGTAATATATAGTAAAAGCGCCGTCAGACAAGGCCGGCGCTACCCTAAATGCAACGCATGCGAAAAATTCAGATTCATGATATATTATATTAATAATATATTAATTTATTATTTTTTGCATACATAATCTATAGGGAACTTAATTGATAGTAATTAGGAAAATTAAAGTACTTTGTTGTATCAATTACAAACTGTAAAAACAGTTTAAAACCAAATAGAGCGGGGGAAAAATGGCATGCGGCGCTGAAGATCCAAGTGTGAGTAGTATGTATGCATAATACATACATACAACGTACATGCATAAAAGAATATGAACCATGTATTATTTTTAGATAATTTTATTTAAAAAATAAACCTAACTTTAACTTATAACTATAATATAATTAAGATGAAATAGAACAAATTCATTCTCAACTTTCTTTGATAAAGTATTTAAAATGTAGAATATGTCTTGATTAAATTCATAATTGTAATACTTAAAAAATAAATTTTATAGTAATATCACAAGTTAGTATTTACCCACAATATTTAAGGATTTAGGAAAAAGGTGTTATTAAAATATTTTAAGTATATTTGGTATGTATTGACTTCCACTTTTAAAACCAATAGTCATGTTCAAAGTTTTGTCTCAGGACTGGAATGCTTGGAACTATATTTTCTAATTCGTCCAATTGATTATTGGATTCAAAAGGTGTACCAGACACATATTCAGATAAAGCATAATTTACATTCAGTTCATTATCAGTGACAATTTCAGATGAATGTGGTCATCTAAGTATGGTTAAAAATTTTTCATCTTTCAATTGACTTTTAATGTCGATGATTTTCAATGTAGGATGAATATTTGTAATAGCTTGAAGATTTTCAATACTCAGTCTCATTGGTTTTCCTCCTAAACTTATTACAGTATGTATGCCACTATTATTGTAATTAGTACTTTTTTTGTAATGTGACTGAAACATTTCTTCATTCCTAATTCTTTGTTTAGATGTGCTCTTTTTAGCCATTGGTACTTTGCAAGAAAGCTTTGTGGTAGACTTCTTTGCAACTGTTCGTATAAGTGATCTAGATCCTTTTTGTGATTCAGTAGAAGAAGTAGGTAAATCAAACGTTGTAATCGAATTTGGTGAAGTATATAAACTATCCTTCTCTCTATGTACTTCATTTCCTAATAATTTCATTTTTTTGCATTCATTAGCAAAAAAGGAATCATTGTCAAAAACATTATCACATTTTTTATAAATAACATCAATTCTATTAATGGCCTCTTGAATTTTTTCTTTGATATTTGGCACGGCACTGTAATTTGAAATATCACTATTAGAATGTACTCTAGTAATATGCAACTTCACTGTGTCTGGAAATGAAAATCCATCAAGACAATAATTACATGAAAATGGTTTAATGTGAGTCTCAATATGCTGACAAGCATCATTGTAAGCCTCAAAAGATTTTGTAAATCATCATTGGATTCATCTACTGAACAATTTAACAAAACAATTTCTTTATCAGGATGGCTAATTTTGATGTGATCCTCAACTTGTTTTCTAGAAGCAGACATAGCGCAGTGTCCACAAGAATACATTTTTAGCGAATGACTTTTTTGATGTCTTTCAAAATAGCCAAAAAACCTAGTAGTATAAGAACAGGAGTCGCAAGTAAAAATTTGTTCATTGTTTGCTTTTGTTTCACCAATTGCTCTAGTTTCAGTCTCAATATTTTCAATTCCTTTGGAACTTATTTTCAGAATAAGATTTGTCTGATGTTGTATAGCTTTAGATATCCAGTTCTCCATTTCCTCATTTTTCTTTAGCTCTTCTATAGAAGGTTTTGCATTGGGATGAGTTTTCTTGCACTGTGATACCAATTGATCAACATCCCATGACACATAATTGCAGAATTTGCATGAATACCTAAGAAATATAAGAGGTAATATAATAATTTCCATTAGAAATTTCCAGTTAAATTTCACAGCATATATAAACACATAAGGTCATGAGTAAAATAAAAAAAATGTAGAAGAAATTGCTTAGATTTTTGGTGTAAAACTATGATTAATAGTGATGATTTGAATTATAACAAAATTTGAATTATCACATTATACACATGATGAAAATAACTTACCTCACATATTGTAGCTCATTACATAAATGGCCAAACATTTCATGTTCTTCAGAGGTTACAAACTCTTCACAGAATGAACAGTGATATTTATCATTTAGTGGTTCGCCATATCTTGCTTCATCTAGCAAAGGCGGTAAATCAGATAAAAAGTTATCTGGCTCCTCATCTTCATCAGAACTTAAACATATAACATCATCAATCACATCTGTAGGTGTTGAATTATTTTTAATTTTTAAAGAAGGTACATTTTTAGGTTTTATTGTTGAAACTGATGTTGGGTTATTAGTTGTATCTGTTAAATCATAACATGGTATCAGCTTGGGCTTTTTAGCAACTGATACTACACTTTCAATAATTCTATTAGTATCATCATCTTTATTTATAGAATTTATTCTTTTTCTGTCTGAATGAATTTTGGTATTTTCAAATAATTGAGAATCAACAGTTAGCTTCAATTTATGTTCCTTTTGTGGAACACTTTCCACAGATTTGCCTATAGTTAAAGTTTCAGAATAATTAGGTGTGATACTTCTCTTTCGTTTTATTGGTGTTTTTATTGATTGAGAGGATTCAACATTTTTATCTAAATTCTCTTCTTCCAGTAAAATACCTCTTATATGCCTCAAACCAGTACTACTTTTTAACCATAAAGGAGTTGTATCAACATTTGTTGCTTGTTCATCAGGTGGCATTTGTTTTTCATTTGCATTTGTTTCTATTTTCTTATAAACAGATACTATTTCAACAGGGTGATTTATATGCCTTGCAGCAAAATGATTGGTAAAACTATTTTTGTATGAACAACGATACTGACAGAGAGCACATTTATACTGAGATTTCATACCATGTTCTTCCCAAGTGTGTTTAACTATTTCTGTTTTATCATATGCTGTATAATCACATAAACCACACATCCAAGTTTTTGATCTGATTTCCTTCTTAGGCATCTTTACATTCAAATTTGAATCTTCACGAATTACTATAACTTGATTAACAGAATTTGGATGTTTATCAGCTACGTGTCTTTCTATGATATGCTTCTGACTTTTGTGATAATTGCAGTATGGACATTTATATAGCCTGGTATCGTGCAACTTTAGATGGGATATTATCTTATCAATATTAATAGTACCAGTAAATTTTTCTAAATTATTAGGACAATGGGGGCACATATAACATGTCTCTTCAGCGTGAAGTGCTAAATAGTGATGGCGCAACATATCTTCATTGACTGTTAGGTATGTACATCCTATGATTCCACAAACGTATCTCTTAGGTTCAATGACAAATTTAGGAAGTTCATTTTCATTTTTTATAATATTTGACATATTTCCACTTTCAGCCTTTTCAACATGACTACTGCAGGCCAAGTTTTTCATTTTATCAAAATATTTTTCATTAGTTACCAAGCAAGGTACAGGGTTAACTGGACACACTTCTGGCACAGAATTGTCTGACTTGTGCTGTTGTAAATGTCTTATTATGTTAGTTCTCACTTTCGTTTTAAATGGACATAAAGCACATTCAACATCTTTAAAATAAATACTATTTCTTGGTAATTTATCTATATCACTAGGTGTATATGAATTGCTTTTAGTTGGTGCATAATTAGTAACGTTTGATAATTCATTGGGTGGTTTATTAGTACATTTAAAGAAATCTCTATCAGGATTTGTTTTTAATGGATCTAAAGGTACCATGTATACAGCAGTCTCTTTATGCTTATTTATTACATGCAATTTAATTTCTGTGGATCTTGCTGTCCGATATGGACAAAATTCACAGCTATATCTATGAATTCCATGAATTTTTAAATGGTCAACATATGGACCGATATTCTTGAAAGATCTCATGCAAATGGAACATGAAAGAAGGTACCCATTTTTCATACAACCTATAAGATGCTGTTTGAAGGATAAACTACTTTCAAATGAAACATCACATTTTGAACATCGAAATAATTTACAATTCTCAATACCAAGATGTTTAACAACATTTAAATCAATATTTGCAATGTTGTTCTCTTTAATTGCATATTGTTTAATAACCTGTTCACTTATAGTAGACTTATTTTGCATCTTAGCAACATTGAAAACAGTTGTTTTAGTTTGTGCACATGATGTTGAATTTATATGGTGTGAAGCAGAATCTATAGAGGAACTTTTGCTTGGCGTATCACTTACAACAAGTCCTTTATTAGAGGTATTAATTATTGAATCTGTGGATTCAATTGTCAATCCTATGTTTTTCATAGAAGTTTCTAATGCTTCATCTCTTTTGTTAGAAATCATGGATGTATGTTCATTTTCACTTATTTCATGTAAATCATTTGAGCATGACTCATCTATAACTAAGTTATCATCATCAAAATTGATACTTTCATCTAATGTTTTGCAAGGATTTATATGGTCATCATCACAAGCAGTAATTAATGAGTTAGTTGGATTCATAACGCCATCTACATTTCTATCAATGTTTAAAAGAACAACACTGGGCAGTAATTCAGCAACTTCCAAATTACATTTCTGTATCTCTTGTAAATTTGCTTGGTTATTCTAAAAAAATCATTGAAAAGAAATACATTATGTTATTTATATGCAAATAAACATCTAAATATTAATTTTACTTTTGATTTAGCAAGGCTTACCGAAATTTCTGATCGCACAAAGACTGTTGCTGGCATTTCAGAATGATGATGTGCTAAATGTTCTAAAATTTGTTTATTATCTTTAGCACCAAAAATACAATAACAACATTGTAAAGAATTTATATTATGAATTTCAGTATGTACTAATAAATCAGATATGGAAATAAACACATCGTCACATATAAAACAAGGCCATTTCGTCATATTATGCGTTTGCAGATGTCTGGCATAACCACCCTTATTTTTATTCTTGAACTTGCAGTCTGGAAATTAATATAAATATGTAGCAGAAAGAATATTGTAGGTACAAGTAAAATAACAAACTAATGCTCATATACATTTTATCACAAAAAATATGCATTTTATAACAAAAATTTAATGTTTGACACAAGCAATCGATTAATTTTCTACTAATATTTGAGGTTCTCGAGGATTTTGAAAATGGTTGCAGCATGAAAATTTTCAAAAATGACTTATAAAATTTTTACTAATCTAATTAAATCCGCACTAAATAAGTAAAATTTGGAATTTCATTACTTTTACATTATATAATATTATTATTATATGTACTAAAATAATATATATATATATATATATATATATACATATATATATATATATACATATATATATATATATATATATATATATATATCTGATATTGAAATAAGTACGTTGTCACATAAAAATAAAAAACAAAGCCAAATCCTTCACAATATCTAGTTCCGGAATCTTGTAACTAAATATCTACAAAAAACCTTTTGATTTTATTTTAATTTTTGAATTGAATGTGCGGAAAAAAACATCGATAAGCGCATTTAAAAAAAAAACCCTGCAATTATTTGTCGTATATATAATAAACACATATAAACTTACCTTCAAATTTACAGATATACGGTAAAACATTATTCAAGTCACCAGAATTACTGAGTCTCCATTTTCTCCATTCAGGTAGTGTTATATTTAAAAGTATTACATTAGGTATGCTAGAGTATTTATGGTAAGATTCAATATGAATATTTATCTGAACTTTACAGAAGCACCTATAGAAACAATGCCTGCACTGATATACACAATTTCTATGATTACGGATATGTCCACTCAAAGAAATAATGCTCTCGTATTTTTTGACGCAATAACAACACTGTAAATAATCCTCATTTCCCTGTTGATGTTGATGCGTAAGTAAAAGGTGGTTTTGAAATTCTGTATGATCATTGCTTGTAAAAAAACAGCTTTGCCCCATGCATTTGTAAGTATGTTTAAACATTTCATCGGTAAAATCATTTTTAATGCAGTTGCTATCTGGAAGCCACGGTTTTGAATCAAATTTGGTTTGAGTGATTTTTGTGTTTTTTGTTATTTCGATGGCACAATCTTCTGATAACTGATCAGAAAATGCATTTGATAAACTGGCATCAGTACTCAAGCTAACAACGTCAACTATTTTTAAAAAGGAATCTTCATCTTTACATTTCTGAACATTATTGGACGACGAAGGTTTAATAATAGATAACTTGTCTCCTGATAACCTCCGCATCTTAAGAAACCCTTTTGGTTTCACAATTTCTTCTTGCTCATTCTTTATTTCTGAATCGTGTTTTAATATATGCTGAAGGCAGACAGCGAGTGGGAAACCGTCCCGAGAGTCTTCGTTAGGTGTTTCAACAGGATTATTGCAAATGAAGCAAACACCATTCCATTTACTGCGACTATGACATTTTTCAATATGGTCTAAAAATAAAGAATCACTTTCGGAGTTATAAACACACCCCTTCTCAAAACATTCATACATTTTTTTATTGTCCATCGTAATGCTGATTCTTATAGTGCCAATCTGCAGTTTCGTACTTCTTTGCCTTACAACATTCAATGATATAGGTTCTGAAGGTGGCGGTCCTTCTTGCAGAATGAATTCTTTCGATATATCGTGTAAATTATTTTCATTTATGACGGATTCCTGAGCACTATCTGGGTAAAGTGTTTTGGATTTCGCTGGGCTAGATATAAGACTGCTTGCTAACCTTTGTATAGTATCGGACATTACGCTAGGCGTCAAAACATTTTTCTCAATACTGTTTAAGACTTCATCGACGTTCACAAATGGTTGAGGCGAATTATATACTTCCGAATCATTTGAATCTTGTTCATCCGATATGCGCAATTCCGATTTAGGTGTATCCGCAACATTTACCGATTTGGCGAAAGAAAAATCTAGGTTGATAGCTCTCACCTTATCCGATATTTCTGGTTGAATGTCACTAGTTATATCTTTAGTTTCAGTTGTTATATTTTTATCGAAATCCAAATTGCTTCCAGAAATTATTTTTTGAGACGTTTCAGTATTGTCAGAAGTTATGTTATCGAGAATAATTTGAGCATTATCATTTTGTGGTAAAACTTCATTATCTTCATCTACAACATTTTCATTCATGTTATTTATTTTACATTGCAGAGCATCGGTAATTTTCATTTTCTTTAAAAATGGTTCGAACATAGGTCTCGAATTATTTATTAAGACATCGCTGAATGTAATATCTACTTTTGAGAGTTCTGCCTCTTTTTCAAGCAGAAAAGGATTTTTATCAACAAGAATATTTGCAGATTCTGATGATACAATTTCAGCAGTGTTATCTGAAGGTTTTTTATTAGAATCATTCTTCAATCCATATTCATGATTCGAAACGAGGTCATGAACTATTAATGGTGGTCCGTCGTCGATCTTTTTATAATCATTGAAATCTACGTCCTCGTTGACGTTATCAGTTGATTTATTTTCGCTTCTATTTACAATGCTGTTTTCATTAGATTCATTTAAAATACACTTAGATATTTTAAACATATTAACTTTAGAAATACTAAGTTCCTTGCCCGGGTGATTCGTACGAATATGCCGTTTAATGTTGTTTTCAAAAATTTGTGTAAAATTACAATATTTGCACATATAACCAAAAATGTAAGTACCATTGGTATTAGGAACGTCGTACATAATGCACGGAGTCAATGGTACTTTCGAAAACTTGTGCCGATATTTAAAATGGTGTTTTAACGAATCTGTTTTCATGATACGATAATCGCAAACATTGCATTTATAGCGAAACTCACCGGTGTGAATAGATAAATGTTCAAATAAAAAAGCAGTATCTTCTTTAAGTATAATTGTTTTACAAAAACGACATTCATAACTCAATTCTGTACTATCTGACTTGTCTTCTACTTGTCCTTGATTCGTCTCACAAAATGAATGCTTTGCGATTTCAGCTTCAGTAGGATTCATTCTCGAAGAATATACTTCATTATTAGGATGGTTATGAACATAGTGTATCGTAATCATTTTTCCCGTAAATGTGCATAGCTTACAAGAGTATTTTTCGCTACAATCAACAAAATAATTTTCATCAGTATTCAATGGAAAGTTGTCGATAGATTTTTCACTAACTGGTGAACTTTGCTCTAAATTTTCCATATCAATATTCTTGATATTTTCACTAGCAGCTTCAATATTATCACAAACTGTTCTCTTAATTTTGCGTTTACTGCGCAAAATTCCCATTTTCCAAGCGCCCTTGCGTTTATTTTTTTTCTTTAAATTTAAACCTACTTTTACTATATTTTTTTCTCCAGAATCAGACATTAGGTTATCACACTTTTCAGGGATTGAATTATGTTCCTTATCGACAGCATCATTTTTATCTTCAGTATTTTCTGATGCTATATCCTCACACTGACCATTCTTTTCAATAACATTTTGGTTTTCAGCGTCGCATTTATTTAAATTCGTGTTTATCTTCTCATTTCTAATAGGATTCCTCAATGTTCGCGCAGAAATGCTAATTCCCCTGCCTCTTCTAGCAACGTTACGTCCTCGGCAAATGTTTTCTTCTATTTCTAATTGACAATCAAAATCTTTTAATTTTTCTAGAATTATTCTAGGTTGCATATGCATACTAGATTTCGATTTGAACGTTTCATTTTCTTCTTCAGTGTTCAAGGTCAAATCATCTTTAGATTCAGTATAATTGATTTTTCTCAAATTTTTGCGGTTTTTACGGCATGAATTAGATTTTAAATCATCTGTATTTAAAATGCAGTTCGTCTCCATAATACTGTCTTCCTTAAGAATCCTACACATACGTCTTCCCGTTGCTGTAAGAACTCCTTCACATATAAACATATCTCGCACATCATGCTGCAACATTTCTAATGCGTTTCGCCTTTTAGGTTTCACAACTTTTTTTTCAATGTCTTGCACTTCATTTGAATTTTCATTACATTCATAATTAGTATGTTTATTCGAATCTGTAACATCTTCATCCGAAGAATCGGATTCGATCTTTTTTATCCTTTTTTTTGTTTTTTTAAATATAGGTGATTCACTTATATTGCTTTTATTATCATTAATGTCTTCATCAGAATCACCATCAATGATCTGTTTTATTTTCTCTACCTTTTTAGAGCCTATTTTTTCTTCCAATTTTTGTAATATATTTAATTGATCCTCTGTATCGCTCTGTTTCTCCTTTTTATCTTTATAGATCCCAGATATCATATCTAATAATTTTGTTAATAGAACTTTCTCTTCGTTACTAACGTTCTCATCTTTCGTGTTGATGTTTTTCACATTATTGCAATCAGAGATCACGGACTGTGATTTAATGTCCACTTTGTCATTATTCATTATTGTGCTTTTAACGTCATGAGGTGTCTTTGCGATGTCTTTTAATTGATTATTTATGTCTAAAGAATTTACATTTGTAGTGGGATTATTACTTTGTTGATCGGGATCTCTTTTAATTTTAGGTATTTTGAAAGATTTAATTGCATCTTTTGTATTTGTATTGGGATCATGCAGATTTTTTCTCGGTGGAGATTTATTTTGTATCTTATCATTATGTTTAAACCTACTATTAGAGATACATTTACTTTCTTTAGGAGAGGGTCGTTTAACATCAGTAACTTTGGAAGAATTTTGGGTTATACTTTCCTCAAGGAATGATGAAGACTTATTTAAATTTAAAGCAGAAGATGTATTTTCTCTCGGTGATCTATAATCAATATCATTTTCTACATGGCAATTAGAATCATCTGTGCGAAATGTTCGCGGATCGCTCATTTTAGAGAGGCTTCTACTCCACCTGTATTTGTTATCCCGACCGTATGCACTGTTACCTCGATAATGAGATCGAGAGTTATCGTGAAATCTCGAATTAGAATGCATAAATTCATGTTTATTATATTTCAGTGAACTATGTTCATTCAGATCAAATTGCACGCGGTCTCTATAATCGAACTGATGATCATAATAATCATTTTTCGATATTCGTTGATCCGCGTTGTCGTAAAAATAGTCAGTGTTTTGATATTCATGAGATGCCGAAACGTAACATTTTTCCGAATTGGTAAAATCTTTGGAGTTACGAATATTTGAATTTGGTGTTGGTAGCAATGGTGTTTTCTGATGGAAATTCTGATTATTGTGGCGCGGCATAAAATTTGATTTAGGATTAGTAGTAAATGTTTGCGGTTGTACTGCTTGTGAGTGAACAAAATTTTGATTAGGAACATATCTATAATCCATATCTAATATAGATGGAAAGGTGTATCTACTCCGAGATTCAGAAAATGTACTATTTTTTGTATTTGGCATATCATAATTAGTAACAAGAGGAAGAGGTTCAGATCTAGGAGAGCTAACTGTTTTAATTCTTGGATCATTGGGTTTTATATCAGGTATGTTTATAAGCTTAGAATTTTCTTCTGTCGAATGTATAATTTTCCCAAACGGGTTAGGGTCTAGTTTGCTACTTAAGATCTTCTTTTGTTCAAAATCAGCATTTTTCACAGCACTCTTATTACTTGGCAACAAGTGAGAACTCGTATGTTTTTGCATATACTCTGCATTTCCACTATCAGAAATCCTTTTCCTTGGGTATTTATCAGATAATCGTTCATAGTTTTCAACAGGTTTTTTAGTCATTTTATTCTCATGGGAAAACGTGCTAGAGCTTTGTTCTTTTTTCGATAAATCGTCAAATACATTTCTGGAAGACAAAGAATTATCTTTGTTACTAACAGTCTTTGAACATTCTTCAAAAGATCGAGTTATGGTTTGTTTTTTAATTTCATTGTTATCTAATTGAGGCAATTGCATTTCATCATGTCGCGGTTGTATTAAATGCCCGGAGCCAGTCAATTTTTTATCAAGTTCTTTTTGTTCTAATATACTTTTATCTTCTTTAGAATCCTTAAACTCTGTGGTTTTATGTTTTGGATTTTTACTAACGTTATCTATTAAGGTTTTATCTAGTTTGGCTAGAACATCACCAAAAACACTTGAGTCTTCCAATTTACGAGTTGTTGCTTTAAGTACAGGTGTCGACTTCTTAATACCGCAAGAAGATTCTTGTTTCTTTGGCATAACAACGGATTGATTCGGTTTGGAAATTTTTCCAGTTAGAGTATTTGTATTTTTAATAAAATCATTTTCTTCATTTTGCGTCAAATAATTAGCTATATCTGATTCAATTTCTTGTTGCAATTGAGCTTCTTTTAGTTGTTTTGTGAGATTAGTGATTAAAGTTGCACTTTTTGGAACTTTATCATTAGAACATTTCAAAGGTGTTTTTTTACTATTATTTACTAATGGGCTTTCAGTATGCACTAACTTTTCTCCTAATCTATCGAAAACAGTTATTCTTCTTTTTTCTGCAGTAGGACTGCATTTTGATATATTGGTTTGTTGTATATAAGAATCGGTGTTATCACTTCTGTATAAATCTATTTTTTTTGGAGAAAATTGAGAAGGTGAAGTATTTATAGTTCTAGATGGTGATTTTGGCAATACATGTTGTGAATCATCATTTCCTCTGGAATTAGATTTACATGAAGTTGCTGGTCGTCGCATAAACAAAACATCAGAATTATCTACACTTGCAGAATACGTATTTTTATTATCTTGTGCCAGAGGTTTCACGCGTTGTGGGGAGTTTGAAGATTCTTCGCATACTCTTTCAGTGGGAATTATTATAGGTATATTCAAATTAGAATCAAACAAAGGCGGACTAGGACTAGCAGGAGCTGAAGAATTCGATGCATTTAGCCTATCAAGTATAATATTTAAAGGCGAATGGATTGGGTTATCCGTTCCATCTTTGATATTTGAATCTAACATCGCGATTTTTGGATAGTTGCGCTTCTTCACAGAAGCACTCTGCAAGAATGATTAAAATGTAATGGTAATTAAGTATTTAATAATTGTACAAAAATGTAAATAGTTAAATATTTACCAATTCCATTTTGTCGTAGAGCTTTCGCAAAACATCTTCGCACTTCTCAAGGGTATGGGCTTTCAATCTGAAAAAAAAAAACGGCAGCATATTATGTATACTGGATCAATGATGACGTTTTAAAATTATCAATCACAAACGCAAAGTTTATTGATAAATGTCCTAAGAAAAGCATTGAGACTACACAATATTTTTAAATAAAAGTAAATTAACCACAGATAAAATATTGTTCAGAAGTATTGTCGATTAGATTTACATTTCAATCATTTGCCCTAGGTGCAGTCCTTGTGTTATTATGTAAATAATATTATCGCGTCTTTATTTCAAAACTTTAGTATCATAATTTTATCTCGATTTTCTTCGAATTTGCAATCTTGAGCCGTTTTAGGATACGGAAAACTAGCTGGCATTTTTTCTAATTTTGACACGACTTCTTTGGTTGCGCAAAACATTTTAGCACGTTGAGTTAGCAACTTCTCGATAGTCAACCTATGACCGGCGCGAGGATCGGCACTGAAATTTTTTTTTTGGTGATCCGTGTGATCGACAGTATTAACGTTGAAAAATGAAATTAGTCTTAATGAAATGCGATCAATTAAGTTTTAACACTTAGCTGTCCGCACGTCTCGTAAAAATTTCTTCGCTCGGCGCCGGTAGTGCTAATTCGTATTACTTTGCTCGTCGCCGACCATTCTGGATATTATCGAAAAATTGTAAATTATTAGGTCTTAGTAATCTTGACGGGTGTAACTTTTTGTTATCTAAATAAAACACCGGGAAGATTTCTGCCACTAGCCAAGAACGAACGAACGACCCTGTGCTCATGACACCACTGTGGTATCGCCAGCTGGTGAACGCTAGTTTGTGCACTACACCACTGTGGTGTCGCCGAACGGCATAGTATTAACAAAATTTATTGAAATATTCTAAACGAAAACGTAGTGAACGGAAAAGACAGCAAATTTGGCGCAGGACTCAACGTGTTAATTAATTATACAGAATGTAGGCATCATACTAAAAATAACATGTATTTTAATAATTTTTGAAATACTATTTGGTGAATAAATAATTATTAGTCAAGATTAATTTTTTAGTACGAAAAAAAAATTTAGTAAGAAAAAATATAAATCAATAAGAGTGATTTTTTTCTACTTTCAACAAAATTATGCAGTTGAGCCTCGTTAATAAAGTTGACATATTTACTTAGTTGCAAACCTAATTTAGAAGATTTACGAAGATGAGATATATTTTATATAAAACTCCGTGCATAAACAATTTGCTTGATTTAATTTAAAATAGAATATAAATATATTTAAAACAATTTGAAAAAATTTTCAAACGTAAATAGAAAAATTAGAGCTTTTACAAAAACAATATTATATTATGAGAAGCTATAATATTGATTTATAAAACGGAAGGTATATAATGATCCCGTAATAATGCGCTCTCGAATGATTTGTATCAGTTATTATAAAGTTATATAATTCAATAGACAATAATGATCGAGCGAAAATATGCAATGATGAGTCATATAAGAAATTAATTTTCATGCAATAGAAAATATTAAGGTTAGAAATGAATACTGAAATAAAAGTTTACACTCTTAACCATTTGTTCAAATATACACTGAAGAATTGTAAAAAAATTTATATCTTCATTAGACACAATTATGCATAATTAATATATATATATATATATATATATATATATATATATATGTATATCAACACCAAATTCACATACTTCAATATATATATATATATATATATATATATATATATATATATATATTTAGGGTGATCCTTAAAATGGACATTTTCGAACTTTCTTGCTCCCAAGGTCTCAAATGGTTCCAAATTGATAAAAAACAATTCTCTGAAAGTTTCAGCTCTTAATATCAACTTCTATATAATAATGATGAAACAACATGTATGAACTAAATAACGGACACCTTACTCAAATGCGTGCAACGCAGAAGTCGGTTCGCGCATTTAAAAGTTTATTTTATGGGTGGTTTTATGAAACATATTTCTTGTTAATTGAATTGCAGATTCATTCAAACTCGATTTTGCACTAAGCGATAATTTCTCTCCGACTTCTAGACAATATATAATTTGAATTTCATCTTTAGGCGATATACACCTTCTTTTTAATCATTTCTTAGTAATTTATCGACATGATGACGGTTCAGATTTTTGTTAGTAAAGAACAAACAATCCATGATATAACTATTATAATATGATGTATAATCCGGTATGTGTAATATAAACACACTCTAAAAGATAAATGTGTTAATAACAAAACTTACATTCATACCCTCTAAATATCTAGTTTCTAGGGTTATTCATAGATTGAGGGATGTCGCATTTTTAGCGACGTGAACTATGGGAACCGTGTTCCGGATCAATAAAATGCACTAGCAAAAAACATGCCATTTTCGGCTTTTATTATTTTGCTCAAAATTTTTAAGTATTTTACCATGTTACAATCTTGATTAAATGCGCTAAATTTTATGATGCTTGCCAACACAGTTTAGTAAAATTTTTTTTAAAGAAGGGCTTCTCAAAGTCGACCGATTTTAAAAAATTTTAAATCATAGTTCAACGAAATGTCTTAACTCTTGAAATCTTTAAGCATTTGTGGTAATTTTTTACTGCGGTCTTAAATATGTTATTCACGGTTACAGTTCCAAAACATAAATGAAAAAAATAATAATCACAAAAACCAAAAAATGGACATAATTTCACCAAAGCTCGAAACAACGTTATAAATAATTTTTTTCTAATTTTTATTGGCTTGACATCAAGGTCTGGGACACCCTGCATATAGATAGTCATTAAAAAAATATATATGTGTGTGTGTGTGTGTGTGTGTGTAAGTGCGTATAAGTGTGTGTAAGTCTATAGAAGTATGTATTATGTATGTAAATAAGGCAAATATAAAACTTTAACTTTCCGGTTCAAGTATCGATTATTTGTTACATACGCATGTCAAATTTACAGTATATAAAATACAGTAAATCCTCGCTTTACGCGGCAAATGCGTACCGTGCAGTATGGGGACCGTGCTATAAAAAATTCGTATTTAACATACAGTTCAGGCTAATTCGTAGTGCGTTTTATGGAACCTTACATAGTGCAGTATGGGAACCATGCTATGAGAGACTCAGAGTTGGTACAAATCACGTCACTTTTATCGTGCTGTATGGAGACCAAGAAATACAACTTGAAGTAGGAGTAATACGGACGAAATGACATGTATTACATTGACACCTTATTCAAAAATTGGCGCGACGCAGTAGTCAGCTCAAACATGTTCTTAGACAGCTATTATATAATCAGACGTGTCTAAAAGATAAAAGTCGATAACAAAACTTACATTAATACCCATTTGATATCAAGTTCCTATAATCACTCATAGGTTACGCAAGGAACTTATGGGCTGTTGAACAAAAACCGTGTAATAGGAAGTACGTATATTCGGAGGGATGCCGGATTTTTAGCTCCGCGTAGTATGAGAACTGCGTACCCAAAGTCCCGTGTAAACCGAGGGTTGACTGTAATTAGTTTGCTATTGAAAAATATAAAAGTGCATTACTGCACTTGATGATTTTCTGACAATAGAGCAAAGAATCATTGATGGGCCAATAATTTTGGCATCATAGCTACCAATGATTTGTCACTTCTTAACCTTTTCAAGAAAATTAAAATCACTTCTGACGACCCTAAAAGCTTTTGGGAGAATGCAATTACGACATTCTTCTAATCAAAATTCAGAAACTTCGGGAATCAAATGTTATGCCCATATCGTTTAATTGGACGGTTCTCAAACGTCTTGGAAATGTTTTACACCAATCGTGAATATTTTTTACTTAAAGCTAACTCACAGTACACTACTGCTTTCGAACTTTAATTTGAATTTGATTTTTTCACACAAAAATGATTTAATCCAAATATTTAACCTTTTGAAGACGGGCGCCGCATATACGCGCAAATCATCAAATTGGCCGAAGAACTCATATATGCGTCACACCTAAACGCATGTCCAACCAAACTGAATAGTTAATAAACAAATAAACATTTTACTTCATTTTATCCTGTAAAAAATATGTGCATATAGTGCCAAAAATATGCGTTGGTAATATTAAATGACTATCGTAGACGGCACCACAGTACTATTCACGAACCGTTCCGTCTCCAAAGAGTTAATATTAGAAAATACAACACAATAAAATCGTCTACCTATTTATCTGTCAAGAACAAACTGAATATACTATATACTTGAAATGTGTGATCATATGTTGGAACATGTGTCCTAATAAATAAAATACAGTTTTCGTTCAACTGTCCATAAGTTCTTTGCGCAACCTATGAATGACTCTAGTAACTAGATATAGTAAGGGGCATTGATGTGTGCTTTGTTATCGACTCTTATCTTTTACATTGTGTTTATATACACATACCATAATGTATCACAGTTGTGTAGAACCATAGATAAGGAAATAGATAGGAAACTTGGGGGATATTTCATAGTCAACGGAATAATTGCACATTACGACATTAGAGGCGCTAGTGTTCGTAGCAGGTTCCAGAACTTTTTGCAAAAGGTTTAAATACCAGATCATTTTGGTTCATGTACATGCCGATATATGAGTTTACGATCTTGCTACTACTATCATTACTATCTCCCCCATGAAAATATTGAACAAAATATAAGTGACTCTGCATCACTCGAATAATTTGGACAAAATACCGATAGCATAATACTGTAAATCACCAAAAAAAATCAAAAATAAGATTAAGACATTAACGTATATCTTTAAGTTGAAAAATTCGTGACAATAATGAAAAAAAATGTTTAGAGACTACGAACTAAATACAAAACTTAAATGAAAGTCGACACATTTTTTTTGTTTTTGACATATGATTTGACATTTGATGCATTTTTTGTTTTGCTCGCAGACTAGATCGAATAATTTCGATAGCTACGCTAATTAGCGTCGTAAGCGCGAGTTATTTAAGCGATCACCAAAATTTCTTAGAAGCTTACCCCCTCCCCCCTGTGTAGAACATAGGTTTCAGTTGTGTCAGAACATGGTTCACAGCGCATTTTGTTTGATTAAGAGCTGCTCAAAAAGTTCTGAGACGCTAAATCGTCATTGTCTCAAAAGAAATTAGGAAAGGATTAAAAATAAGGTGTATATAGCTTAAAGATAAAATTCATTCGTTTAGAAAGCGAGAGAAATTATCGTGTGTTGCAAAATCAACAAAATAGAATGAATTTATAAATCGCACTTTAAATAAAACAATTACAAATAACAATAAAAATGTCTCCAGAAAACATAAGAAATCTATTCGTAAACTAAACTTTTTAAGGCGCGATCATGTTTGAACTGACTACGGGGCAACGGCAATTTTTAACCCTTTGCGCCCGGCTGTCGCCTCTGAGGGACTTAATAATTTGTATTCATAATAAGTTCAGTGTGTATTGAAGCGTCGAAAACAATAAATCAAGAATGAGCAAGCAGCGACTCTTTTTTAAATATTTTTCTGCGATTCGCCAAGCATTTCTGAAGTACAATCTTATTTATTTCACCAACTTTCTTTCATCAATAAATTTAATGCATATTCTTTTCTTGTTGCATTAATTTATAGATTTGCTTTTTTAGTATAGTATTTTTATATTATAATGTTTATTAGTATATATCAAGCTTTGTAAATTATTAATAAGTCTGTCATGTCATAACATTTCGCAAATTATATGCCGCCCGCAAATAAAAAAAATTGTTCATTCTTAGAATTAAATCTATGGAGCGGTATAGCAGTGTTACGTTTGCAAAATTTACTTGAGTTTAGATTGCAGTTTAGATTGAGATTTACAGTGATATCCCGCTCAACGCACGCCTCGCACAATGGACGCTGCGAAACGAACTTTCTTTTTCGGACGCGAAAGTTTCACACAACGTTTTGAAGCATCATTATTTGTAGTCAAAAATATGTTGCTCAATTTATTTCAAAGAGTGGGCCTTGGAAATTTATGCTCCCGCTGTGAAAATATACTTGTTGCAGAATAATCTCTCACTTAAATCATCTCGTTATTTGAGTCATTCACATTCACACATCAAAAGTATTGAGAAAAATTTCGAAGTGTGTGAACAAAAGTCTATAAATTTTTGGTCAAATGAAAAGAAGTGCAAATATTCGTAAATGTTTACTTTTCAAACATGAGGCTAAGAATATCAGAAATTTGTTTAATGATAAGGTCGCCTATCATTTACAGTAGGTCTTAAAAAAGAGAATGAAAGAAACAACTATCGACAGCTTCTTTAAAAATTCAGGCGCTAAAGGGGCAAAAAGGTAGCAGTACCACTCTAATAGTAACTTATTTTGTAAATTAGTAATATTTTTTTAAATGCCTTAATTATATGTAAAATATATCTTATTTTCTATGACCAATATGGTCTAACTACAGAACGAATTATTTTTATTATCATGTTTTCATATGGAAAAACGTTTCGCATAACGAATTTTCTCCGGATCGAATTAAGTATGTATAGCGGAGTATCACTGTATTACATTTCACTGTAGAGTGATAAAAAAAAACGATGGTGCCATGACGCTAAGTAAATATAACGACAGTAGAAAGCCCGTTAAGCCTTTTGGAAATTGCTTTCCACGCTGCAGAAGATAAATTGGATATTATTGTAAATGTATGTTCTTCAATATCCAGAAATTCATATAAAACAAATTGCATAACATACACAATAATATCAAGTTTACAGCAGACGGATTGTTTTTGAATCGGTGCCGGGCGGAGGGTTACATAAGTGTGCATGTCATTTCAACCGTATTAGTCCTACACACTAACTTATTTGTTTCCATATAAGGCGATACAAATGCTACAATTTGTACTAATTCTGAGTTTCTAATGGCACGGTTTCCATAGAACGAACTACAAATTAACCTGGATTGTACGTTAAATAAATCCCAGTTTTCTATAGCACGGTTCCATACTACACGGTTCGCACTCACCGCGTTAACGGTGGACTGAATATATGTATGTACGTATGCATGTATGACTATATATATATATATATAGGGTGGTCCTTAAAATGGTCATTTTCGAATTTCCTTGCTTCCAGGGGCTCAAATGGTTCCAAATTGATAAAAAACAATTCTCTAAAAGTTTTAGCTCTTAATATTAACGTTTAGATAGAGCGCAATTCAATCAAACTTCGTATGGAAAGAGCATGGAAAAAATTTTGAAAATAAAAAAAAATGTTTTAGGTATAACTTAGCGACAAATGAATGAGTTTCATTCATTTATTTGTTCGCTAAATTACATCTAAAAAACATTTTTAAAATTTTTGAAAATTTTTCCATGCTATTTCCATACAAAACTTGATTGACTGCGCTCTATCTAAAAGACAATATTAAGAGGTAAATTTTCAGAGAATTATTTTGAAACCATTTGAGCCCTGGGAGCAAGAAATTCGAAAATGTCCATTTTAAGGATCACCTATAATATATATATATATTATATATATATATATATATATATATATAATAAGTAAGTAATACGAGAGGGAACCGAAACAATATGCATTGTATTCTATATACAAGTGATTGAAATAATTGAAGATTACGTAAGTATACATAATGTTAATTTATATGCCTATATTAAATAATATAATATAAAATTAATTTTCAAAGCAGAACTACATTTAATGAAATATATTCAAATTTAATAACATAAATTAGTACAATAGCTACAGAATGCTGAATTTTAATAACTACGCCTTGGATAATTACTTACTTTCTTTTTTGATCTGTCAGAAGGGACAACAAGGACATCATTTTGCTTAATTGAGGACTTCTTTGTTTTTCTTGAGTTTTTGAAGAATTTTGTAAATTAGCGATCATTGCCCTCAAAAACGGAACGTATTTTTGCAGATCATCTAACAACTTCAACCTACGTTGCTCTTCCTCCATTTTGTATCACTCAAAAGATCGACGCTAGTCAAATACAATATCTCTTGAACAAATGCACAGTCTTCGCCATAACAAAAGAGCTCGAATTATTTATAATAAGAAATCATTGTTCGCTCTCATTTTTAGTGTTACTGGCGTTAATAGTTTCTAAAAAAATGCTTAATCGCCACTTCGAACAACTCGGTGAACGAGGTGGCAAGTCATGTCCGTCTGAAGTAATCGATCGGAGCTTCTGAAACTAATAACCTAATAATAACTGTATTGATACACTAAACAAATTTCACAAAAACCTTCTTCTGTGTAAATTCGACAGTCTCAAGTTAATATATCAAGTTAATTGTTTCTTTAACTACGAAATATCTTGCTCATCGCTCGGCGTCGATTATTAACATGGGCAATGGCGGACCCTGTAGCTGTAGCAAGCGATAAAAAAGA